TACGGAATTCAGGGATTCTCCGCCACGGAGTGACATCCCAGCCCTTTTTATTTTTTAGTTTGAGACATGTCTCACTAAGTTGCCCAGGCAGGACTTGAACTTGTGAGCCTCCTGCCTCAGCCTCCCAAAGTGCTGGAACTACAGGCCTGTGCCGTGTACCCAGCTTGAATACGCACAGCTTTTACTTGTCAATTAAAAAATAAAATCAGAGCTCAGCGCATAGCTCAGTGGTACAGTCCATGTTTAGCATCTGCAAGGCCCTAGGGTTCCATTCCCAGCACCACAAAATAAGTAAATAATTTTTTTAAGCTAAAAGGAAAAGTGTTTAGAAGTTCAGAAATGCCATTGTTAGAGAGTGCTGTAAGAGTGTGCAAATACAAAAAGCTATATGGGGCTGGGCATGGTGGCACACACCTGTAATCCTAGCATTCGGGAGGCTGAGGCAGGAGAATTGTTGTGAGTTTGAGACCAGCCTGGGCTACAAAGTGAGCTCAAGGCCAGCCTGAACTGCATAGGGAGACTCTGTCTCAAAAACAAAACAAAACAGAAAGCAAACAAACAAAAACTATACGGGTTATGGTGCTTGCTGCAGTATTGCCTGAAAAAAGAAAATGAGGATCATTACCGTGTATGGTTAAAATAACCGGAACATCTTAGTTACTTTGTTGTCATCAGTTCAAAATACCTGACACCCTCAATTTAACAAGAAGTTTAATTTGCTTCAGTGTGAGAAGTTTCAGCCCTCGGCTGGCAGGCTGCAATGCAGAAATGGCGGAAGGGCCGGGTGCAGAAGAAAGCTGCTCACCTTAGGGAGGCCCAGAAGCAGAGAGAGAAGGGAGGAGGGGTGGAGCTAAACCCTTCAGGCCACGCCCCCAGCGCCCACCTCTAACCAGGCCCTGCCTCCCAATGCCAAGTCAGCTGTGAACTCAGCAGACTGATCCAATGCCCCCATGACCCAGTCACCTTCCAAACACGTGAGGCCTTGGGGAGCCGCCCCAGATCTACACCATAATAGCATCGGTATTAGAATACAATGAAACCTCTAAAAATAGCATGCAAGAATATTATCAGTTATAGGGAAGGGCTCATGGTATGTAGTTTTAATTTAAAAAGCAAGTCACAAAACAGTGTGCTGAAGATCTACTTCCGTTCATGGCTGCTCACTAATTGTCGTTGTGCACTCCAGGGCCGAGGCACTGCCCTCCCCTCTCCAGAACCCTGGGCAAAGGAGACTTCCGGAGTTGCTAAGAAGGGAGCATGTATGCGATCCTGGAGCTGCTACAGCTATCTTGTCAGCATGAGGACAGAAGGCGAGCAAAGGAAAGCAGAACTCAGAGGCGGGGAAAGCAAAAGCGAGAAAGCCAGAGACGGGATGGCCGAGTCTGAGTCCATGGATGCTACCTGGCTGGAAGCTGGTCCAGTTCTGGACGACACAGACAACACCGTCTGGGAGTTTCATCACTTGTAACTGAAGGTCTGTGTGCTCTTTCCCCTACAGTGAGCCAGTCACCGGCAATGGGGAATGGCCTAGAGGTACCATGCCAGGCTTTGACTTTTGACCCATTCCCTGAGTGGCACAGCTGGGGTGACACGTCAGGGCAAGGGCATGCTCGGCAGATGTGAACTGAGAATTCCAGTGGCCAGAGGAGGCTCCGGCCTGAGGGCTGAGCTCCAGCATCCCCCTGCCTGTGTCCTCCCTCCCGACACTCCAAGGAGGACCCCGCCTGCATGGGGTGACTTCCTGGAGCAGCTCCTGTTCTGAGAAGCCCTCTCCAGTCCCCTGGCTGAGCTCCATGCTTCTGTCCTGGCTTCCACACGCTTTGTGAGTGTTTTCTGACCACTGCCCCTATGAGGCAGAGACTGGGTCAGTCCTGGTCACTGCTGTGCCCTCAGCTGTCACCCGGCCTGGGAGGGACACGGCGAGAGGCTCGCTCTGGTGCTGCCGGGCCGCGGTGGCTCAGGGCAGGCCTCTTGCTGTTCCAGGCAGCACAGCTAGGTGGTGTGGCACCATCGGACGACAGTCGCAGGTGCAGGCTGTGACCAATCAGAACACTCCCTCTCTCTGTCCCTGTTACCTGTAAGTATTACTTTGAAGTCAGGAGCTGAGCCTTAGGTTCACCTCCTAAGTGGGGGATGAAGCCCAAGCCTTAGGAGCTGGGGAGCCAGCAGGCCTGAAACAGAGCTTGGGGACTGGAAACCAGGGTTGGGGATGAGAAGAGGCAGCTTGGGGTGCTCCGGTGAGACTCAGCTGGTCTGCGGTGATGCTGGACGCAGGACCACATGCCAGGATTTGTCAGTCCCCCTTCAGGACACCAAAGGGAAGCCTCACCCGGCTCATACCAGCTCTCTCGCGCTTGCTCCCATCTGTCCGTTTCTGTCTCTCTCAGGGCCCTCTGGACTGGAGGTGTAGCTCAGCCACGGAGCACCTGCCTAACCTGTCCAAGGTTCTGGGTTCCGTCCTGAGCACTGGAAAGAAAAAGCAAAAAAAAAACCCCAAACTCAAGGACCTCCAGCAACCTGTCTGCGGCAGAGGCCTGTCAGGGTGATAACCGCGTCATGGTTCGCTGTGTTTATTTTTACAGCTCCCTGCTAATGGTAGCATGATTTTGATTTTCTGTTTAGGATAATAATAGGACGTTCCTTTTTAAAATAAATTTGCATAAGTAAGAGGAGCCCACTATTTAAAGGAAATTAGTAAGCAGATGACAAAACAGGTGGTGACATTGTTGGGCCCCAAAGGCAATGGGCGGGTGTGTGACTAAGCAGGAAGGTGCCAGAAAAGAAGCATTTGGAGGAGCCGCTCAGCTCCTGAGGGAGGGCCACTGGGGACGCATTGGGAGCCCCCCAACCCCGCCAGCAGGGGGCACAGACCCTGACTTAACTGCTCCAAAGCAAACTCACAGCTGGGGGCCAAAGCCCACCCTGAGCTGAGCTGGTGGCCTAGAGCCAGGAAGCCAGGCCATGCTGGTGGCCCTGCCTGGGCCTGGACACTGACTCTGTATGCCCAGGGCCAGCAGGGTGACCCCCAAGGGTTCCCTGGGGCTTGAACCCTCTCAGAGCATGTCACCTTGACATGGACACCCTTGGTCTGGTTCTGGTGCTGTCCCTGTCTCTCTCTGTGACCTAGAGCAATTCATTGCACTAGACCTCAGTTTCCCTTATCTGAAAACAGATGATTGAAGTGGCCTCAGAGGACCTGGGACATACATATTCCCTCCTCTCTTCTCCTCCACTGTGGCCCTCAGTGAGGGTCCTATGGGCCTGCGCCTAATTCCCTGCTCTACCAGTTGGTAGCTGTGTGATCCTGGATGAGTCACTTAGTCCCTCAGGGTGTGTGTGTCCATGGGCCCAGCAGGGCTGGGCTGGCATGGTGTGAGTGAAATCTGTCCCACAGTGATATACCTGCCAGCTCCCCTGGACACTGGCTCCATGGGGGGTGGGGCAGAGCAGGGGAGGCTGAGTGCTCAAAGCAAACTCATGGCCAGGGTGTGAGGCCGGCCTGGGGTGGGCACCCAGCCCTCCTGAGGCCTTGGGCTGGGGCACCTGCATGGAAGGGACCCAGGACAGCAGCCTGCCTGGGCTCTGGGATGGTTTTCTTCAGGGTATCCTTAAGTCAGTTCACCTCAGGCCTTCTCAGCCTTGCAGGTATGCAGGCAGGAACCACCTCCCTAGCTTCAGGGAGGGCAGGAGGGGGTGATCTTGTTAAAATGCAGATGCTGATTCAGCAGGCCTAAGTGGCCCTAGATTCTGCATTTCTTTCAATCTCCAGGGAGGCCGGTGCTACTGGTATCCAGGCCTCATCCTGAATAGCAGGAGCAGGTTCTCCTCATCTCTCCTGCAGGCCCATCTTTAGGAAAGCAGGAAGAGAGGTCTGGTCTGGTCCCAGCTGCCACCACCCCAAAGTCCCGGAGACAAGGACTGAGTTACACAGACGCAGTGGGAGGATTCCAGGCCAGCAGGGAAGTGGGTACTTTGGGGGATTGTGACAGGAAAGATTCTTCGAAGAGGGGACCTCCAGAACCCAAGAAATGAGGGGGTGTCTGACTCCTGCAACAAATGGCTAGCGCCAGAAGGAGATAGCCTCTCTGCCATCCCAGGCTGTTGGACAACTGTTGTGGATGACGGCATGGTGTGCAAGGCCAGCAGAAATTCCGGGGGACCCACAGACTGTGGCTGCTGGAAGAAATGGGGAGCGCAGCATTGAGGTCCATAAGGAAGAGAGCAGCCGGGGTCCCAAAGCTGCCCTTGGTGCCCAGTTCCTTCTCAAGAAACCAGAATGAGTCCTTGACCTTCACACTATGTGGGAAGCCAGCCACTCTTCAGGGGTGCTGGAGAGGAACTCCCCTTTATGATTCCGTAGGTCCTTTCTACCCCATGTATGTATTTTCTCTCTGTGTGCACACCAGGCACACAAATGCACCATGCATATGTGATTTTGAGATGCCCATTTTTTTTTTTTTTAACCTTTTAGCAACTCACTTTCTGTGATGACCTAGATCTGAGTTGATTTCCTTTTGAAGAATTTGCGTTTTCAGGGCCAGGTACACCTCCATCTGAAACCACTTCCGCTTGAGTTATTTTGGGCCGTGCTGTGTGTACTCAGGCCCCAAACGTGGGCGAGCACTGGCTTGTAGGCCAGATTCTCAGAGATTTCCCATCCTCTCCTGAGTGCCAAGACTGATTCACGCAGATGTCCTCACTGTGTCTGTTTACATAGCATGTGTCTTAGTCTGTTTTCTGTTGGTATGACTGAACACCACAGACTGGGTAACTGGTAAAGAATAAAGGTTTATTCAGCTCATAGTTCTGGAGGTGAGACATCTAGAGCCTGCATCTAATGAGGCTCTTTCTGCTGGTTGGGACAGCAGAATCCTAAGGCAGTGCAGTGTAATCATTCTGAATGCATCATCTAATCACTTCCCAAGGTCCCGTTTCCGACCAGAATTAGATTAGGTTTCCGTCTTCTAATCCCTCACCTGGAGATTAAATCTCAACACAAGTTTTGTGATAGCAGCAGGTTTATTCTGTTACACTGGGGAGCTAACTCTTTGGTCTCCCAGCTTTCTGCTGGAATTTCTTATCAAATTATTCATGTTGGGAATTTTTTTTCTTCTTAGCAAGCCTTTGGTGCATTTCACAACTGACAACATTTTAGGTTTGATGAAATATTTATAAAATCAATATGATCTGCTTCACCATTACAAACAGACTCACAACTTTTATTTTGCCATGATACAGCACAATTTTCCATCAGCTCAGTTTTTCAAACAATCTATTCTCTCCCACTTGAAGGGTTCTTTTCTAGGAGTACAATGAGACTCGGAGCTTGCTTTTGGGCCCTCTGCCAGGTCGAGCCCAAGGGGCCCTACGGGGCCGCCACACAGTGTCATGCTGAACAGATTCTAGTGCAGTTTCTGAAATGCTTTCTACACCGCTACCTTGTCTTTCTCCCGGGACCAGACTATTGCACAGACCAAAGTGGAGCCCCACATTCCCATTTCCAAGTTACACCCCGAGAAGCTCAGCCAGGTGCTGCTTTTGGTTTCTAGGGTCTTCCAGCCTCAAACACACACTGGGCCCAAAGTGGCCTGCAGGACTGACTCAGCCCCCTGGTCCGAGTCCTCCTCTTGCTTGGGCTGGTGCTGCATTCTTTTCTGACAGTGGAATTCAGTCAAGGGCAGCTCAGCCCATCAGAGAGGCTAGGAGAACACTGACCCTCAAAGGGGGGGCTCCTTGAAGACTGACTCTCCTGGAAGATATCATCGCTCCCCTTCCAGCAAAGCCATGCGAGGAGCAGGTGTCTGGTGAGTAAAAGTCCACCCCAAGGCTCTATGTCCCCCCACTCTAGCTGGGATATACTAGCCACCCCCCTTGCTAAAAACGGCTATCCTAGAATCCTATGGCACTATTGCTTTCTGGTCTGCTGCCCTTCAAAGGATAGCACACAGCCTCCACCTAGGGAGAGCTGAGGAGGAGAAGCTGTCCTTGAGGGTAATAGGTGAGCTCTTGATTTGCTAAGTGGAGTCTGTCTATATGCTAAGGGAGAAGTGCTAGAACATTAGGACAATGAGTAGGACTATTTACTTATCGAGACAGTCTCACTATGTAGCCCGTGATGGCCTGGAATTCATGATCCTCCTGCCTCAGCCTCCCAGAGTGGTAGGATTATAGGCATGCAGCACCACACTAGCAGGGTGGGACTATTTATAAGCAATACTGAGAGACTAAGAGCAGAGGAAAGACCCAGCACTGCTGCAGACATGGTCTTCCAGGCACGTGGACTGAGCTATATCTTGATTTGGATGTAAACGTCTTCACTCTCCATAAAAACATCAGTAAGGTTCACCTTACTCTCCAGAATTGTCCCTGCAGGGTTTGTGGTATTGAGATGAACTGAACTGGCCCCCAGGGGGCACAAGATACAAGCCGGCCCCTCTGTGCAAGGCAGATCAGAGGAGAGGCTGGCACAAAGTCACGCGGGAGCCAGAGCCCCTCTCCTTAAGCCCGGCCCCGAACAACCCACGCAGCGCAGCGGTGACCCTCTCAGGACAGGTACTCCCGCACGGTGAGCTCCTTGAGCGAGAAGCCCCGGTGGCTGGGCCATCGGAGCTGGCTCTCCTCCAGCCTCCCCTGCAGAGACGCGAAGTCCTTGCCCAGCGAGTAGGCCAGGCGCACCATGGCCTCCAGCAGCGGGACGTAGTAGCGGTGGCTCTCGCGGGCCTGCAGGCAGCGCAAGGCCCTCTCTCCCGCTGCGAAGGCCTCGGCGGGCCGCTCCAGGTCGCGGTGGCACACAAGCATGGCGCAGAGCGCGGGGACCAGCCCGGCAGGGCAGTGCCGGGTGAGCCGCTCCAGCAGCGGTACCACCCGCAGCAGTGTGTCCAGGGCGCGCGCGTACTGCCCGGCGCGCAGGCAGCCGAAGGCCTCGCGCAGCTCGGGCCGCGTGAGGAAGTCGATGAGCTCGCGGGAGCGGCGCACGGCGCGGATGGCGTACAGCAGCTGCAGATACTCCCTGAGCGCCAGCCTGCGCTCGCCGATCATCTCCTCCGTGAAGTTGCCTGTCAGGCGCTTCCCGGGGAAGACCACATCCTCGATCTCCTCCCCGTATGTCTTCAGCAGGCTTTTCTGCAGCTTCTCAAAGTCCGAGTAGCGCCGTTCTAGGACAGCTTTGTTGCTGTCGAAGCTGCCTGTCTGGATGACCACGATCTGGTACATCTGCGGCCAGAGAGAGACCCTTACACTGCAGCTTCGGTGACATTTCCCATGAAGCTGCACCCCTCGCTCGCAGTTCTGGTCCCGTCTCCCGTCTTCTTTCGAGACTGGACCTAGGGCCTTCACACTGAGCTACATATCTAGCATTAATTTATTTATTTTTAAGACAGGAGTTCACTAAATTGCTAAGCTACCCAGTCAGGGCTAGAACTTGTGATCCTCCTGCCTCAGCCTCTCAGAGTGGTGGGATTACAGGCGTGCGCCACGATGCCCACTTTGCAGTCTGTTTTAAATTTTTTTATTTTTTTCCAGTACCGGGAATTGAACTTACGACCTTGCACTTGCCAGGCAGGCGCTGTGCGGCTGAGCTAAATCCCCAGCCCCTGCAATCTGTTTTAATTGTCGTCGCACCCGCTGGCCTATAAAGGTGACTCACGACAAGTGTCAACCCCGGAAAAACAAACTCAGCCGCGTGAGACATCCGGGAGGCAAAAGCTAGACATCCCGGGCGGAGTAAGTCCGCGCCGGGGCCTTCTTGCCTTTAGCTCCCTGGAACTGGGCCTCTGTGTTCTGGAACGGGAAGCTGGGACTAGTGCTGTGCTCTCCCGACAGGGAACATGCTCCAGGTACAGTGTAGCATCGTATTAGCAAAGATCTACATACCACGAATATGATTCTGTTTCATTTCTCTTAAGGGCAGAGACTCTGGAGCCTGATGCCAGCCCCACCAAGATCTAGCTGTGTGGCCTTAGATGAGAATTTAACGTCTCTGAGCCTTAGTTTTCTCGTGCGTAAATCAAGGATAGGGAAAGTCCTTGTTTCCTTCACTGGGTAGGGATTAAGTGGCTCATACACTAAACCAGGTGGTGGAACTGTTGTTCTCCCTTCCTTCCTTCCTTCCTTCCTTCCTTCCTTCCTTCCTTCCTTCCTTTCTTATCAGCATTGGGGATTGAATCCAGGGCTTTTAACTTTTATTTTGAGACAAGATCTTGGTAAGTTGTTAAACTGCCCAGGCTGGGCTCAGACTTGTGACCCTCCTGCCTCAGCCTCCCAGAGTGCTGGGATTACAGGCGTGTGCCACCATCCCCTGGCTACTATCGATCTTTCATTTAAATATATTTAATGTTTTTGGAAAGTGAGCCAGTTTAAACATAAAATTAAGTACGTGAGCAAGGATATGATGAAATTGGTGGAAAAGTGACGCAGGTGACTAATGCCCCATAACGGGATTAAACTGGCCTGCTGACTTCCTAGAATCTGGAACTGTGACTAACATGTTTCTGTTTGTCATAGGGCTTCCACAGGGCTGCACACGAAGCCTGGCTCTTCAGCCGTGTCCCCTGGGAGAATGCTGACAGTTAGAGGCTGGGAAAGCGGAGGTCCCCCGGACTCGCCCAGGGCTGGGAGGAGCTAGAGAGAGGGGTTCCCTCACTTCCCCTCTCAGCTCACCACAAACTTGGAGATCCTTTTCTGCTCGATGCGGGCCGAGGCGATCTCAAAGAGCAGCTTGACGGGCTTCCAGTGGCCCTTCTCGCTCCGCCAGTGCTCCTGCAGCTCCCGCGTGGTCATGTTGGAGTTGGAGCTCAGCCCGCTGGGGCCGTCTGAAAGGACAGCAGCCTTAGGGACTTGCACGAGGGGGGGGGGGGATCAGGGCATGTGAGAGGCCAGGGCTTGAGGAGCTGGCCCGGTCATCAGCTGGCTCATCAGAATGCGAGAAGAGCGCTAGTTACCCCGCTTGCCACCCCAGCCCTGCCTGGCCGAATCCCCCACTGCTGAGTCCGAATCCTTGCCATGTTCTGGGTTGTGAAACTTGGCTCTGTTAATTATATCGTTTACTTCCGGCCTCCAGACTGGCTGTTGTGAAACTCCTGGTTCCTGACAAGCAGGGACCCGGCTTATCTACTTCCGTGCACCCTGTAACACAGGCTCTGTGCTGCTGCAGAGCTAGAGATGTGCTCTGGTCTCAGCCTGGCTAGCCTCTCTGGGCTTCTCCCACAGGCCCTGCTTTTTCTCATGCATGCTGCTCCTCTGCCTCAAATCCCGCCCTCCCATTCTCCACCACAGTATTTCTTTTCTTCTTCTCTTTCTTTCTTTCTTTTCTTTTCTTTTTTCTTTTTCTTTTTCTTTTTTTTTTGTTTTTTTTTTTTGTCTTTTTGAGACAAGATCTCTCTGTGCAGTTCACGCTGGCCTTGAGCTCACTTTGCAGCCCAGGTTGGCCTCGAACTCACAACCATCCTCCTGCCTCAGCCTCCCGAGTGCTGGAATTACAGGCGTGCACCACCATACCCAGCTGACACAGTGTTTCTTAAATCTCCCTTGAGCCCTGTGCCCCTGAGAATTCCGAGGAAGCTTAGACTCTTCCCTAATTTTTATCATAATTGTGCATTTATTGAGCCTCAAAAGCCTGTGTCTACCCAGCCCATTTGTCACTCCACTCGCCCCTCGGCGTTTGATCAGGAGCCTCCCACCTTGCTCTTTCAGCCTTTGTTTTGCATTTCTAACTTCTCACTGATGTTTCTGAACAGAGCTTAGGGCCGGTGCAGTTTGATTTGCTCCAGTTTCCTTGTGGGGGACGCTGCAGTTGGCCAGCGGGTCCCTCCTGAGTGATGGTAAAAGGAGGTGGTGCTGTAGTAGGTGTTGTCCGTTCTGGGCCAGCTCCCCTCCGCACTCACCCTTCAGGATGGTACTGCTGGCTTTCTAAGAGAAGGAACTAGGACTCTGGCCCTGAGAGCTTCCGGGGCACAGCTGCACGCTTAGAGTCCTCCCTCTGCTGATGCAGATGGGACTGATAGATAATAACCTCTCTCGATGTGACAGCTCTGAGACATGCTCCACACACCTTCCAGAGGACCCTCCCAGGGACCGAGCCCTGGTTACCTACCCGTCGTCTAATCACCGATCCCCTATAGAAGCCTGGTACCCTTTTCCTGTGGTGTCCCTGTTCCCTGCCTGCCTCCTGCAGTCAGCTCCCAGCCCAGGGCCTGTTTTGGGATGACCCAGTTAAGAGAGCCGTCCCACTGGCTTGGTGCAGCCACTGAAGTGAGCCCCGTTCATATTCCACATGTCTTTGAATCTCTGTTCCCTCCCAGAGCCCCAAGCCTCAAGCCCACCTAGGTGTCCTTCCAGTCCTGGACGTGGGAGTTCGGGGCCTGTGGCCGGTGCTTCCTGCTTGGTCCTCACTGTGCACTGGGTCGTGGGTCCCGTCCAGCCAGGGCTCCCAGGGTGCTCAGCATTGGCCATGGTCCTAGGCTGTGGGGAGCACAGGGAAGAGCGATGAGTGCCAATGGTGTGGGGCCCTGGGGTCCCTATAGGAGCCCTGGTGTGCTCCCTGCTGATGGGCGGGGGGTGACAGTGGACTCTGCTGGGCCCAACCTGGGTCTGTCCCTCAGCTGGGCAGATGGTGCCGAGGTGGCACAGACCCTTCAAGGTGATGCAGAGCCTCGTCATAGTGCCAGTGCTATCGAGCTGCTGTGGGTGTTAAATGAGGTCATTTCGATGAAGGTAATCGCTTTGGAGAACACTTGGGAGAAAGATGCTGACTTGGCCAGATAAATATCCCAGTATTCGATTTTATCTTACTGTGCGCCTGTCTGTCTGTCTGTCTGTCTGTCTATCTTATCTATTTTTAAACAAACACTTACCAACAACTTATTGTTCCTACTTCATATTACCTACTTCTGCACACCCCCTGTCTAATTTGATACTCACAAAATTCCACCATTCCCCACAAATAACAAATGAGGAGACTGAGATCTTGCCCAGGAGCATGTGGCTGACCCGGGAGCCCAAAGCAGAATTTGTCTCAAGTGCTTGTGATGTGCTCACCATGTACTCCAAGCTCAGCATGCTCCCTCACTGAATCTGACCACCACCTGCGGTAGGGACTGCTTTGATCTCCACTTTGTGATAAAGGGACTGAGAGCTGGAGTTCCCCAAGAGCAAGGCCTGGTATGTGTTGCCAGGACACAAACCCAGGCAGACATGATGCTGAGTCCTCTCTTCCATGGGGGCAAGTCAGGAGGGTGGGCTGCAGGGATCCAGGGACACTGGCAGGTAGACAAGATGACCTAGTGGCCGGCTCATTTCTCAACCTCTCCCTAGAAAATAGGCACAACAGCAGAACCTGCCTTCTGAGGCTGGTGTGCAGGTTAAGTCAGCAGCCCCTGCAAGGCATCAGCTCAGCCCCACACACCAGGCACTGTGAGGTGTCCCTGTTAAGATCTGATGCTTTAACAAGTATCTGTGAAATAAGTGACTCTAGACTGAGGTGCAAGCTGGAATAGAATTACAGGTATCTTCGGGTCAGAAGAAGGGATAACGGAAAGATCCACTCGAGCAAGTAGCTGGGTTCTGTGTGGGAGCAGAGATTCAGAATAAGGAGGCCCAGGGCAGTGCCTCCCGCTGCCTACCAGGACCCAGGAGAGCTGTGTGCAGGACCCATGTGAACGCGGCCACTTGAACTCTGGACTCTTAGTTTCCAGTCCCCAGGCTGAACCTCTGGCTGACTGTACTTGAGGGAAGTGAGGTCACTGCTGCTGCAATGTCCCCTCCTATGTCCCTGCCTAAGACAAGAGCCTTTTCCATTGTACTGGAGGGGGCAGTTAGCAGGGCCCACAGCTCATGCCTCAGTGGCCAGAGGAATCCCTAGAATTCTCCAGGTGGCCTCTGGACAGTTGTCTAGTGGGTGTCCTCTGGGACCTCCCATTCAGCCCTCCTGTTATAGATGGGTAGACTGAGGCAGAGGGTGGGGGCCTGACTGGCCCAGGGCTGCACACACTTTAGCATGTGTAGCTTGCACACCTTATATGTCTCTCAAGGGTTAAGAGTCATGGCCTTCCATCCGACTCGCTGTGTTAAGCAAGGTCTATTTCCTCATGGGCAGGGTGCGGCCACAAGCCCCTGTCGGTGAGATGATAGATGGGTAAGGATAGATACCCTATTTTTGGCTAAGCAAGGTAGCAGGTGGCCCACGTGTTCTTTTAGCTCATGGACTCTTGGTGGCTGGGATTTTGTGGGGGCCCTGTTTCCTGTGGGCACTCCTCTGCACCCACCTCAGTCCACTCATCTGTAACGAGGGTGACAGTGAGTGACTTTCGCAGCCACTGTCCCAGCCCTTCCAGCTCTGCTTCCCTGATCTGGCAGCTGGTGCCAGGTCAGAAGCAGGGCACTGCTTTCCCAGAGATGCTTTAAGTCCCCAGACATGACACCTTGGCAGGATGTTCCAGTAAAGACCTGCAAAAGCTCATCGTGAAACCAGGGCTTAGAATAAAAAACAAATTCAGAGGCCAGTACCAGCTCCATTATGTTTTCTCTGAGGGGATTGGCTGGGAGCTGCACATTTAAAGAGGAGTAGAAGGGAAAGAATCATGCATTGCTGCATCCATGGGAGCGTGAGCAGCTTCCTGTCCACCCCTGGGCTTCAGTTTCCCCATCTGTGAAATGGGGCAGCTGGCCGGTTACTCTAAATGTTCTTGGGAGACAGCCACGTGGGGATTCTGTGGCTCATTCCTTTCCCACTCTGTGGCCTTGGCAGCCAGTGTTGCTAGGCAACAACAAAACACGGCAAATAGTGCTGTTAGCTTGGGGGCCTCACTTGGCCCAGAGGACAACAGGCTTCCCAGTCCTCTGGACCCTGCAGCTCCTCCTGCAAGATGGTCGTCCTCTTTCTCCTTGTCTCCCAGGTTCCCTGACCCTCGCTTCCCCCTTTGAGAGCTTCTGCCTGTCTAGTCCTCTTTCTCATGGGCACAAGGCCCCCTGCAGAGCCCATGCCATCCTTCTGAGAGGCTGCAGAGGACTTCTCGTCTGAGCAGAGCCTCTAATGGGTCGAAACACTGCCCCCCTCAGCCTGCTGGGGAGACAGAGGGCTTGGGGCATTGATGCACAGCTGGGCCAGGGTAGATAGATATAGGATACCTGGATGCTCACCTGAGCAGCCTCAAGGGCAGGGGCTCCTCAGTGTGCCTGTGCAACAGAATCTCCCTTTGGGGTAGGGTGGACTTCTGGGTTTTTGCCCCAAATCAGATTTCCCTGCACCTAAGGCCCAGAGTCCCAGGCAGCAGGTCTAGGGTGGGCCCTGGAATCTGCATTTTGTACAGGTCCCCCTGGGGTCCCTGCTAGGTTGATGCAGGGTCACTAGTCCCACTTTTGACAAATTCAGTCCTAGTGACTTATTCCCCAGGACCAAGACAGGTTATACAAGCGTCCAGCTTTGCAGAAGGAACTGAGGTGACAAGGGTGGGGGTGTGGGGGTTCCCTGCCTGCTGTGCCCCAGTGTGCAAGGGCGCCTACACAGAGGCTGACATCCACCCTCCTCTGTCCCACCGGGCCCCTAACAGGTGCAGAGAGAGGGTCACCGGAGATGGGGATGGAGGCCACAGTGGGCAGAGGCCAGCTGATTGTGGGATCTAACACTGACCTGAGGTCTTCGGTCCCTGCGTGTGCTGGGGGTCCAGGAAACGGTCACATGTCCCCTTTGTCTCTCTGTTCGAAGCTCCGGCAAGTGGTAGAGTGGCTGCCGCTTTGCTAAGTTCCCGTTTGAAAACAGGAAATGGGCTATGTGACCTGCTCCTGATCACTCAGCCCATTGGCTGCTGAAAGATGGTGTAGAAGCACCCGCGTCTTCTTCAGCAGCCAACAGGGCGGAGTGGGCGGTGCACGGCTGGCCCTCCCCGCTCAGGAGGGGGTCAAATTTGGCCCCAGCAGCCTTGCTGCCCTTTGGCGACCTGGACCATCCTGGTGTTCAGATAGTTGCTGCCAGAGCTCTCTCTTTCAGTCCTTTTCTGTCACTGTGACATAAGACCGCAGACTCAGCACATGATAAAGAAAAGAAGTTTAGTTCGCTCACAGTTCTGGAGGCTAGGAAGTCCAGGGACACTGTGGCTGTCTTCAGGGAAGAACCTTCTTCTCCTGGTAGCAAGTGGAAGGGCAGAGAAAGGGGGGCAGGAGGGGACCTAGTGCCTTGGCATCTAACCCACCCCATGGTAATGGCATCAATCCACTTACGAAGCCTCCATCTACCCTCATGACCCAACCATTTGGCCCCAACATGATGAGATTTGGGACCAAACATTCAACAATGCATTTGGGGGACACATCCATACATACGACAACATGTGTTATTGTGTCCTGAAAGCTAGGCACAATGGGGGCCATATGTCTCATCAACAGAAATGAAGCTGAGGCTTGGAGCACGGAGCTGATGGGACACAGAGCCAGTGTCTGGCCTGGAAGGCTGTGGGATGACCTCAGAGTTCGGTCTGTGCAGCGCTGTACCAGCACTGTGACAGAAAGTACCAGGAAAGCCAAGTGTCTAGGCAGTGATGTGACTCACGGCCACTAGTATTTGTGGCCTGAAGGGCAAGAGGCTGGGGCAGGACAAAAAACAGGACCCTGATGCCGCCTCCCAGAAATCCACCGCGTGTCTTCCCAACAGAGGTGGTGACAGCCCCGATTCTAATGGGGGTTACTTCCTTGCTTTATAAATCTCCTACCTATGAATAGATCCTAAACACTTGAGTTTCATTTTACTTATTGTTGAGTTCTATATAAATTAAGCCATACAGGGGCTGGGGATTTAGTTCAGTGGCACAGCGCCTACCTGGCAAGTGCGACATCGTGAGTTCGATTCCCAGTACTGAAAAAAAAAAAAAACAAAAAAGGGGAAAAAAAAAAAAAGTAAATTAAGCCATACATACTGTTTATATTTTTGGTGTTCTTGGTTCTTTCATTCAACATTTATGTGTGTAAGACTCACTGATTGGGTGTGGAGGTTTTAAATATGGAGTTATGTTGCTACATTATTTGAATACATTGTTATTATTTATCCTTTTTTGTTGTTTTTTGGTCTATTGATTCACATTTATGTTGTTTCTAGCATGGCCATGACGATCAATGCTGCTGGTTATACTACAGATTTATCCAAGTCCATGGGATGTGGCAGGGTACTGAGAAATTGAACCCAGATCCTTCACACTGAACTACATCCCCAGCCCTTTTTATTTTTTATTTTGAGACAGGATCTCACTAGGTCAGTAAGTTGCTCGAACTGGGCTCTAACTTGTGATCCTCATGTCTCAGCCTCCTAGAGTGCTGTGATTATAGAGGTGTGCTACCACACCCTGCTCTACATGATTTTCCCAGGTAAAATTACAGGGTCTCCAAGTTTGAATGGTTTCAACTGTGCTAGATTAAGCCATGCCATTTTTCCAGCACACCTGTGACACTCTGCATTCCCAGCAGCAACTCGTGAGAGTTCTCACCCATACTTGGCATTGTCAGTATTTTGTATTGAAGACATTGTAGTGGGTATACAGCGGTATCTCATTATTTCCCTAATGACGTTAAGCACCTAGTCGAGGGCTTATTTCCCATCTTTAGCTTTTCTTCAGTGAAGTATCTGTCTGAGTCCATTGCTCATCTTCTTACTGAATTATGTTTTATTGGTTTGTAGGTATTCTTTATGGGCTCATTTGAGTCTATCTGCTTCTGTGCATCCGTTTCCTTCCTGTGCTTTGCATTTGTTTTCTCTTAATGGGCTCTTCTGATGAATAAAAGTTGTCAGTTTTAAGTTACTCAGTCACATCAGTCTTCTCCTTCATAACCAGGCCATGGAGCTTTCTCCATTATGTGCTGCAGCAACAGCCTCACAGGCCACTGGGAGGCCTAAGGTGAGGGTGAGTCAAGATGCTCAAAGGTTTGGAATGGCACTGTTCTGCTCTGTACATGTTGTTGTTATTCTAAAATCTGTGGTGTGCCTTTCTCATGTGGGGCTAATTACTGAAATGATCACCCAATCCCATTGCTCTGCTGTACCATGGCTGTTGCAAAGAGCATCTGCATATGTGATGCTCTGTTCCTTTTTCTGGAGAAAGAGCTCCAAGGAATTGCTGTGTATGGTGTTCCCCTGCTGCGGGCTGGGGAGCCCTGGGTGCTGCTGCCGCGTCTCCTTCATCTCCGTCACGTAGAGGCAGGAGGCGTGATGTGGAGACGGGTGCTCACATGGCATCAGTCTGGGCAGCCCCTCCCCTCCGCTGCCTGGCTTGGGCCTGGTCGATAGCCAGCTTTCCTGTCCAGCCTTGGCCCATACCTGGAACCTGTGAAAGGCCAGGGCAGTCTCAGCCTGTCTCGGAGTCCCAGGAACCTCACCCTGCAGTCAACAGCCACAAGGGATGGGTATCTGTCAGCTACCACTTCCTCTTCTGGGGCCAGGAGACAGTCTTTGGAAATCCCCGTACCCGGAGCATGTCTGGCCTGCATTGGAAGTACTGAGCTGGACGAGACTGAGTGGCAGACTTTGCGCCTGGGTGCCTGCTGGGTGTAGCTTTTCTCTGCAGCCCTAGTGGTGGAGAGTGGGCAAGGGCAACGTCTTGGTCTGGTCATTCTCTGCCATAAGGGAGCACCGTGGCCTAGCAAGCTTCTCACAGTTAGGAGGCTGGGAGGTCCCAGACCAGGGTGCGGGCAGGTTCAATGTCTGGGGAAGGCCCACTCCTAATGTGAGGCTGGCTCTTTTTCTGTAGCTCATGTGGCAGAAAGAGGGCAAGAGAGGTCTCAGCGGCTCCCTTTTCAGCGCACTGATCCTGTTCCCAAGGGCAACCTCATGTCCTAATCACCTCCCCAAGCCCCCAGCTCTTTGTACCATCTCACTGGGGTTAGGATTTCAACACACAAATTGGGAGCAGGGTGGGGCACATCAAGGCCTTCACAGGAGGACGAGGTTCCACTTTCGTGGGTGGGGTGGGGCACAGCAGGGGACACACCTCCTTGTGGTACTGAAGCCGGGTGGTGACAAGGGGGGCACTGAGGAGCCCTGCAGGGCTGTGAAGGGGGAGCGCTGGCGTCTCCGAGTCTGGGGACCTCTTCTAGAATTCAGAGCCAGAACACCTTTCTCTTTTGCCCAAGTCCTTCTGTGGCTTCCTGCCACAGTCAGAGCGAATTCCAGTTCCTCACCGAGGCCTTTCCCCACTTTTCTTGGCCTCGCTGGGTCCCCTCCCAGCGTCACCCACCCCCATCGCAACTGCCCTGGGCACCTTTGGCTTGCGAAAGCCTTGGTGTCTGTGCAGTGCCTTGGGCTGGAAATACCCTTCCCTGGGTTCTTTCCATTGTGGGCTCTTTCGCGTGGGTAAGTGGCAGCTTCTTCCCCCCTCCTCTGGGCGACCTTCTCCTGAACCCTCTATCAAGAAGCGTCATTTGCTTATTTGATTACAGAGACTTTGTGTCAGCATTTTGTTCCTAGCACCGAGCACAGTTCCTGGCACCCAGTGAATGCTCTGTGACTGTTCTGCGTGTAAGCCAGCCGTGGTGGTGCACATCTTTAATTGTAGCACTCTGGGAGGCTGAGGCAGGAGGATCATAAGTGTGAGCCCAGCCTGGGCAATTTAACAACTTAGTGAGACCCTGTCTCAAAATGAAAAAAAAAAAAATTGAATGGGCCTGGGAGTTAGCTCAGTGTGAATGCTCTGAGTCCAAGCCCTGTACCTTCCTCCACTCCTCAAAAAGGAAAGGAAAAAGTAACTGCTGTGTTAGTGAATGAATGAATGAGTGAATGGGGTAGACACAGAGAAGGGATTATCCCAGCTGTGATGCCTACCTAGTCCTGACTCATAGTGTGATCCTGGGCAGGCCACCCACCCCCTCTGAATTTCCATTTTTCTCACTGCAACACAGTATGAAATCAATTCCTCCTAGCAGCAAAACACTGTACTTGAGCAAATCACTCAGCCCTAAAAACTACTGCTCACCACCACTGCAGACATGCGACACACTTGGGATTATGATAGTGCAACATTTGTTTTGAAACATTCAACATGAACTGGTGGCTACCCATGGGCCGCTCCAGGTATGTGAGCAAACCCCAGCTGGTGAGTGTTTTGCAAATGACACAAAATCCGCTCCTGTGAACCTAATGTTTCTGCACCTAGGTGTTCGAAGGTTTTTTATACTGCAGGATTTTAAAATCGGTGCCATAGACAGAGTTCACTATGGGGCATTATTGAGATATACTAGGGTAGGCCTGGGGCTCAGGTGCCATTTCTACATGCCAGGCTGGGATCTGTGATGAAGGGCTGGGGTGAACCCTAGTAACTTGCACAGGCTGGGCACATGTTCTACCACTGAGCTACCCCCATGCACACCTGTCTGCCTTCTCCTATCAAGACGACACACAAAACGTGCTTCCTGTTCTTGGGAGATATGTTTGTGTGAAGTCTGAAGAGCACTTGGGAGGAGGTTTAGGGCTATGGTGCATTGTTTCAAGGTTTGTGCCCATAACAGGGCACCTGATGGGGACAGATGAGGTTGAGGCATAGTCTCCACTTGGTTTTTTCAGGTCCCAGCAGATACAGTGGTGCTTTCTTCTCCACAGAAGAGGAACACGAAGGTGGCCTGGCTGCAGGTTAATTAATAATGGAGGGTCGAGGAATCCTTTTTCAAAGATGGCTGGCAGAAGATTTTGTTTTGCTGAAGTGGGGTCTGTAAGCTGGAGACTGGAACAGAAGGGACTGAGAAAATAAAGGTGATTCAGGAAGCAGTGGGGTGGGGGGAGAC